GCCTGGCCCGCTCCGCCTCCTGCTCTGAGGAGGAGCCTTCTCCGCTTGCTCAGCGACCTCGGGCGGGCGGCCCCTTCCGGACACGACCCGGCCCCACCGCTTCGCTCCGGTTCCCCCTCAAGCGCCGGCCAGACCAACCCGCGTCGCCGCCGCCGCCATTTTGTCTCGGAAAACGTCCCTGTGGGGTAGGTGGGAGGGGCGAAAAGAGGGCTCCGCCTCCTCCCCCGCCATGCCTCCTGCCCCGCGCGCAGGATTCTGGGAGCTGTAGGCAGAAGGAGGAACGTCTCCTCCCTTCTCGGGCGCGGGGTCTGGGGGGCGACCGCGGAGGGACGACGACGACGACGACATTTTCCTTCCCTTTGGAAGGTTTTATTATTGCCTCCGTCGTGTTCCCTCTTCCGAGCCTGCTGGGTTTGGACGGACTGGTTTAATATTTTGAAATCCCCGAGAATTAAAAAAAAAGTTACACACATTCGCCCACCATTTATTTATTTTTTGCTGGTTAGAGGTGTGTGTCAGGTCGCCTGGGACTTAGGGCGACCCTTCAAAAAACGCCCGGCCCTCCATTCGCCCTGCTCAGGTTTTGTGAACTAGAAGGAATAAAGGAATATTTCCCCATATATTTTTTTTCCTCAGCCCTTCATAAGGACAAGGTTTTTAGCTCTGGTGGGCTTGATAGGGGGGCTGTCAAGTCTCCTCTGACCCATGGCAACCCTAGGAATGAATGAGCGACCTCCAAAAGGCCCTGCTGGGCAATTGCAGACTCCAGCCCATGGCTTCCTTAGGGGGTCAGTCCATCCCATATTTGGTCCTCCTCTTTTCCTGCTGCCTTCAACTTTTCCCGGCATTAGGGTCTTCTCCAGGGAGTCCAGCCCTCACGGGATGTGCCCAAAGTAAGCCAGCCTCAGTTCCATCGAGTTTTGTTTTGTTTTTGCCTCTAGAGGTTGTTCAAGCTTGATTTGCTCCAGGACCCACTTGTTCATCTCTGGCAGTCCAGGGGCATCCACAAAGCTTCTCCTCCAACATCACATTTCAAATGAATCAGTTTATTTTCTCTTTATCAGCTTTGTTCACCGTCCGGCTTTCATGCCCATGTACGTAGTCCATAGTCAGAAATACAGTGGTGCCTCGCTTAGCGATTGCCTCGTTTAACGATGTATTCGCTTAGCGATGAGGTTTTAGGAGAGATCTTGCGCTCCGTTTAGCGATGTTTCCAATGGGGGAATTTCGCATAGCGATGTTCAGGACCTTGCTTCGCTTAGCAATGACAGTTTAGTTCCCCCTGTTTCGCTTAGCGATGTTTTTGACAGCTCTGTTTTCGCTATTTTTAAAAGGTGTTAAATTGTTTAAAAAGGGTTAAGAGTGCTTGAAATCGTTAGTGCACTTAATAAACCCTTTGTTAACCAAATTTGGCTTCGTTCTGACTCTTTGAATTTTTGGTGATTTTTTTCCTCCCCCATTGAAATGCATTGAAAAGGTTTCAATGCATTCCAATGGGGGAACCGTGTTTCGCTTAGCGATGTTTCCTATGGCGATCTTCGCTTAAGGACGGCAATCCGTTCCCATTGGAATGGATTATCCGGTTTTCAAGGCATCTCTATGGGAAAATGCGTTTCGCTTAGCGATGTTTTCCCATAGCAATGAATTTTTTGGCACCAATAAAAATTGTTAAGTGAGGCACCACTGTACAAGAGTGCGGATGGTCTTGGGTCTCCAGTGACACACCCTTTTATACCGAGATTGTCTCATTCTTCCGAAGTTTGATTTCCCCATGCATTCAGCAGCTATTCCAGTAGTCCTAGGGAGAAGAGGAGAGCAAAGCTAGCAGGAGCTAAAGAGCTCACTCACAGTGGGTCATTTGCTGAGTCCAGGAGCCATTTTTAATACCAAACATGCAAAATCTGAGACCAGAAATGGTTAGATGTCCCCTGCCCTTCTTGTCAAACTAGTATTTTGGAATATGAAGAGTGGTAGGGGCCTATTTAAAATATCAATTGCCACCCTACCGTATGCAGTTCACCTTGCTTACCAGAAAGTTACCCTCGAGTAACTGTAGCAACATTTGATTATTATTTTTTTCTCATTCCCATCACACAGCCATTCTGTAATGGCTGAGAAAACTCGTTAAAGACGGGCATCTAAATAGTCCTGCTTTATCTCCCCCCTCTCCTTTCCCTTCTTTCTTTTTAGGATGTAAGCCAGCTGACAAGGAACGACTTTTTTAAAAATGGGTAAGTAAAAGTTCTGAGAGCCTTTGCATCTATGGGATGGGCTATAAGTGATATAAATAGGTAATCCTATGCCCATTTGGGAATAAATTCCTCTGACTCAGTGGAGGTGAACGTCTCAGTGGGTCTGTAGCATTGGATGGTTAAAATTTCTCTCCCGGTGCAAAATTTGTTCAGTCCTTTTTTCATGTGTATACACAGATAAGTTGTTTTCACAAATGGACACAGATGAATGAAGTGTATGCTTAATAAAAGAAAAAGAGCCAGAAATTCAACTGGTGATGTTTTCATATGTAACAGAGTAACACATATTCACATCTGCAATAAAAAAAAATACCAAGGGAGGTCTGATCTGGCCACATTGACACATTTATTTATTTATTTATTTATTTATTTATTTATTTATTTATTCATTCATTCATTTATTCATTCATTCATTCATTCATTCATTCATTCATTCATTCATTCATTCATTCATTTAACTTATATGCCGCCCACTCTACCCAAAGGTCTCTGGACGGTTTACAACAATTAAAATTCAATTAAAATAGAATAAAATCTAAAATGATTAAAATACAATTAAAATTGCCACATGCCTTAGTTATATCCCAGCTAGATTACTGCAATGGACTCTATGTGGGGCTGCCTCTGGAAAGTATTTAGAAACTTCACTGGATCCAAATTGCAGCAGCCAGATAGCTGACTGGGGCCGGATACAGGGATCGTATAAACGACTCACCCCCATTTCAGCTGGTTCACTGGGGGCCGATCCATTTCTGGGCACAATTGAAAGTACTGGTTCTAATCTATAAAGCCCTAAACAGTTTGAGTCTAAGCTATCTCCAAGACTGTATCTCCCATTACGAGGTTGCCCGGGTGTTAAGATCATCAGCAGAGGCCTTTTTCTCAGTCCTGCCACCTTCCCAGGTATGTCTGGTGGGTACATGAGAGAGGGCCTGCTCCCAGACTTTGGAACTCCCTCCCACTGGAAGCCACCCTGGCCCCATCTTTGCTGTCCTTCTGCAAGCCGACGAAGACCTTTCTCTTCAGGCATGGTTTCCCTCCATGAGACCTTTCTCTTCAGGCAAGGTTTCCCTCCATGGCTGGCTTCCTGAATTAGGTTGTTAAAAGGATTGCTTTCAATGTGATTTTGATATGGTTTTGGTTTACAGTGTTGTGGTTGACCGTTTTTGCTATTTGTATACTTAGTGATTTTAGCTTTAAATGTTTTCTTTTAATGACGTAAGCCACCTTGAGTCCCTTTTAAGGAGAAAAGGCCGGGTAAAAATATTTTAAATAAAAATAAATAAGAGCAACCCAGAACAACCCCCAAACTACTGGGGACAATGCCACAATGTGAAGGGGGGGAAGCCCAATACAGTAAGTGTATTTTCCCATGGCAGAATGTGGTCTCCATTTCATACTGGAACTCGGGACCAATTTTGGAAGTCCTATGGTCTTTTGCAAGAGGCTTCAGTCTGTGGAGCTCAAGAACCTAATAGTCTTCCTATCTTAAGCAGCAGGTGAACATTTCCCATAAAAAAATAAAGAAAACGGTCAAATGCCTGGAAAAATAAAGGAAATTTTTCTATTAGGAAAAAGTCTGAGAGTTGTAGGGATTTGTTTCATTTTTCCACCAGAGCATTTAAAACAGGGAGATTTCCTCTAAGTAATATTTTTATTAGAGCTTTTTTAAAAAATAAACTAAAAGTTACTTTCCGGGTTCTTGTCACTTTCGTTTTATTGCCCAGTTCCTACAGCAGATAATGTGAAGGCTTCATGTTCATTTATTATTTATTTTCTCTTTTATTCCCCATTGTCTTTTTTCTTCTTTGAAAAAAACTCTGGCTGAAATTAATTCAGCCCTCGAGGGGGTAAGTTCTTCATAGCTTGAATAAAATCCTATATGCTTTTCCACCAAGCGATCCGTAGCCTCGCTGTACTAGCTTCTCACCGAAGAGGCCTTTTTGAAGGGGGTGGGGGGAAATCAATATCATATTTTAGTCCTTCTATATGAAGTTTAAATTTAATCTGTCTGGATGATTTTTCCCCCCATGTTGCTCATTTAAGAAATAACACCCATAGCTGAGGAATATGCAGAGCAATAAACCAATCCTGTCCTTCATTAAATACCAGAGCAAAGGTGTTTAATTTGACACCAAACTCCATTTATATATCATAAGTATGCTGCAGTGCTGTGAAAATTGATGCTATTGTCAAATAAAGAGAGCAATTTCACGGATATATTCCTGTTTCAAGAGCAGTTTCGGGAGGCTCGTTGGGCTAGTTCTTTGATTTCCAGTGGAAGTTACATCCAGTGGTGCTCGTCTTTCGTTATTTAATGTACTGTATATACGTAGACATTTGAAAGGACAGTGCTGCCGAAGGAGACCCAAACTTGCTGAGGGGCTGAGCCAGAGGGACAAGAAGGAATTGGGGGGTCCCAAATGTCTGGGGCGTGTGAGCAACATCCATCTGCCGGTTGAAGGATAAACTGAAAGGAAATTATTTGCATCAAAACCCAAGAGCTGAAATAGAAAGCATCTATTTGAATGTTTGCTATAGAGTTCATTTAAGAATTTGGGGTGCTTCTGTTGTGTTTGCAGCGTGATCTCTGCCTGCCTGCTTGTTCCTGTGCTCACTCAAAAGTGTGCATTTCTACATAGATGCATGTACAGAG